GGAGGATCATAGGACTTAGTAAGCAGGGTTATGGCATGTTATGACGACCCCTAAGCCCTGAACCCTAAAGCCTACACCGTGGGGCTATATGTAGTGATAAGTATGGTGACCTTATGGGGTTTCGGGTTTACTTAAAGTCTCATGGCACTTAGTAGCTAGGGTTATAGATAAGGTAGCTGTGCTGAGACTTACCTCTGACCCTCATGAAGGCACCTATATATAGCCTGACTGGCTAAGTCCTCCAGGTATGCCAGGGTTCCTTTTCAGGGTTCCTTAGAGGGTGGCCCCAAGTTTTTTTTTTTTTGCGATGAGGTTTCAGAGTTTAGCGCTTAGTGTTTACGGGCTGGGGTTTGGGGTTGCGGGTTTCCCTCGGGTCTAGGGCTTTGGGTTTAGGCCTTCAGGGCTCTGTGAAGGAACGTGGTGCTCCCATTTTTTGGGTGTTCTATTTTATGGGGTTTTCACATCCGAACCCTTCACGGAGTTCTAAAAGAACCCTGATGTTATAAAGTCACCGGGTCTTCGAACAGGAAGCAAGCAAAAACACTGAACCCTAAAGCCTACACCCTAAACCCTAAACCCTGCACCCTAAACCCTAAACCCCAAACCCCGAACCCTAAACCCCCAAAGTTTGGAACCCTAAACCCTAAACCCCTAAACCCCTAAAACCCTAAACCCTAAACCCCTAAACCTCTAAACCCCTAAACCCGAAAGCCTTGCAGACTTCATGGGGCAAGGGTGGGCTCTGGGAGCTTTGTGCTTGGAGGGGGCTCTTTAAAGCATTCCTTGAGGGTTTAGGGTTTTAGGGTTTAGGGTTGAGGGTTTAGGGTTTAGGGTTTAGGGTTTAGGGTTGAGGGTTTAGGGTTTAGGGGGTTAAGGGGTTTAGGGTTTAGGGGTTTAGGGTTGAGGGTTGGGTTTAGGGGTGTCAACCTTAGGAGGTATAAGTTGGGGGTCGAAGGGTCTAGGGGCGTAGGGGGTTTCGGTTTAGGGTTTAGGGTTTAGGGTTTAGGGTTTAGGGTTTAGGGTTTAGGGTCTACTTTCAGGGCTTGGAGCTTCAAGGTTTAGGGTTTCGGGTGTAGGGCTGTTTGGGGTACCCCCTAAACCCTAAACCCTAAACTCTAAACCCTAAACCCTAAACCCGAAAACTCCTTAAGCTCTAGACTCTCTAGACCCTATGCCCCAAAACCTGAGCCTTCAGTCTTAACCCTACAACCCTAAGCCTTAAAGCGGAAGCCTTCAACTCTCTAAAATTAGGGATTTAGGGTTTAGGGTTTAGGGTTTAGGGGAACTTCGGGAGAAGAAGTTGGACTGATGCCGAAACTTAGGTTTGCTCTGGCTCGCAAGATGCTTTAAGGGTGGGGTTCCGAAATGCTCCCTGTTCCTTACCTAGGCCTCAATATACCCTAAGCCCTAAACCCTAAACTTTCAGGGGTAACTACAATACCCTAAACCCTAAACCCTAAACCCTACTTTCACTTGAAGCAGCCCGGAGCAAGTCGCCAGGTCTGTCGCTGGCCATGTATTGGCTTTATGCGGCCTCCTTCATGCTGATTCTGGGTTCTTGTTCAGGAATTTAGGATTTAGGGTGTAGGGTTCTATAGTAAATACTGGTAACTTAAAAAAAATTAAATCCCTAAACCCCAAACCCTAAACCCCTTAACAAAGAACCCAGGATTGTCTTCTTCACCCTGTTGAACTTCTTCCTGGCGATCGTCGTTGATGCTTTTGTAGCCGTCAAGGACGAGTACGACAAGCTCCACTGCACGTACAACTTCATCTACGACTGTGGCATGATACCCAGGACACTCCTTTAGGGCTTTGGGTTTAGACTTCACACCCATTCCCGAAAGACGCGCGAAATCAGGCCATCCCATCGGAAGGAGTCTTGCATTATTATTTCCGTAGAGTCCAGTCCATGATATGTGGACCGTCTATAATTTTTACTTCCAACCGTGTAAGGTAACCCAAACAAATCTTCAAGAGCAGAGCCTGGAACTAACAGCAACAAACCCTGAAGCCCTACTGCTTGCAATCTTAAGTATTAAACAAGCTCTACACTCTAAACCTTCCCTAAATCTCAATCAGTCAACCACAAACCCATACACCCTAAAGCCCTAAAGCCCGAAAGCTCTAAACCCTAAAGCCTCAACCCCCAGACCCTAACCCTCAAGCCCCAACCAGCAACCCTAAACCCGAGATGTGATGCTGCAAACCGAGAGAGCTCCCCAGAGACTCCAATACCCCTTAATTAAGGAATATACCTTAGATCATATTAGGGGTCCTACTATAAGTTTAAAGTATATTCCTTAGTTAAGGGATATTGGAGTGTCTGGGTTCGAGGATCCACGAAAACAGCCTCCCAGCCTCAGGCGCAGTAAAGAGTCTGGTGTGTGTAGTAGGCTTTTCGGTTCCTACTTGGAGGGTCGGGAGACTTAGTAAGTAGGCAATAAGTAGACTTATAAGTACCGTAACGGACCCTAATTAGCCCTAATTGGGTTATAGTACTTATAAGTCTATAAAATAACCATTTCCTAAGTCCCCCGACCCTCCTTGTAGGGGTCTCAAACACTTGCCGCCGCTATTCCTCAATACTTGTACTACACCACACGCCAAAGCCCCATTCCAGCTATGAAGGCCCCTGTATAGACTCTCTGGCTCAGGTCTTAGGATTAGAGTTTTGCGTGGAGGGTTTAGGGTTTAGGGTTTGGGGCTTAGGGTTTATGGTTTTGTGTCCGTGGGTGGGGCTGTCGAACTCGAGATCCGGAGATTCGGGTCCAAGCCCTAAAAAGACCTTACGAAACGCCTATGAAACGTTTATAGACCCCCTAGAAGGAACCCTAAACCCTAAACCCTAAACCCTAAAAGGAACCCTCCACTGAACTCCACAAGCTCAGGGAAACCCTAAACCCCAGGAGCTTGTACATGCACTTTAAGCTCAAGCTTCCGGGGCGCAAGAAGTTCATCGCCTACCTGGAGGAATCGCTCGAGAACCTCAAGGAGGCTGCACTAGTAGTAGTAGTAGTAGTAGTAGTAGTAGTAGTCGTGGTGGTGGTAGTAGTAGTAGTAGTGGTGGTGGTGGTAGTAGTAGTTGTCGTAGTCGTAGTCGTAGNNTACTAGTACTAGTACTAGAACTACTACTAGTACTAGTACCAGTACCAGTACTAGTAGTGTAGTAGTGTAGTAGTGTAGTAGTGTAGTAGTAGTTGTAGTAGTAAGTAGTAATAGTGGCGAGTAGGTAGTGAGCAGTACTCCGTGAGTAGTATTGGTGGTAGTACTAGTACTGGTACTACTACCAGTACTCGTACTAGTGGCATTAGTAGTGGAGGAGCAAGTAGCAGCAGTAGCAGCAGTAAGTGCTACGACGACGACAACGGCAACGTGACAACTTCCCCTTTCTGCTACCATCTTGCCTTCCTGCTCAGAACCTTTTCTTGGGCAGCCGGCCCGTCGCCGGACGGGTGGTGCGAGACGCAGGGCGGCGGAGCCGTGGCAGCCTGAACCGTGGGAGACAAAGAACCAAACGAAAGAGCTTCTCCAATCTGCGCGCCCGAGCCACCTCACATACCGAAGTTGTGCCAAGCTCCTGGCTTCTTGGCGTCATGCCTTGGCACGGAAAAGACCTGGCGCAGAGCAGTTCCAAGAAAGAGATGGGGGCAAAGAAGCTGCACACCCGTGGTTTAACATCGGTGGCTTCATGAAGTGGTGTAGCGCTTCAAAGATGGTCACAGAGTCCTTGGGAAGCTCCCTGGATCGTCGGCCTGCCTCGTCCCACTTCGCGCTTGTGGCAGCAGCACCTGTGAGAAGCGATCAGCCATCTCTGTGCGCACAGATTCGGATCAGGAGTAACCGGGAATGCAAGCCAAAAAATCTAAAACGAAAGGACCGGCCTCCACCATAGGGCGCCCTTTTTGCGCCCAGTGCCGGGGCAGCTGGGGGAGAACGGCATCCGGAGCGAGAGAGGCTACTACTGCTCCTGTGTCATGGCGCTTTGGGCTCAGGGGTGCATGGTCGCAGGGTTGAGGTTTGGGAGGTTGGGGGCTCTTGAACCCTGGGCAATGCCCGCCGTCATAGGCAAAAACGCTGCAGATCTGCGATGTCAAACCTGTTGCAGATCGGGAAACTCGGACTCACGACTGACTTCCAGAGCGGCGGAAGGAAAGTGGCGCTGAATGCTAAGTCTCAGCTCAGGCTGTTTTCTTCGGAGCCAGTCGTCAGCTAGTCCTCCTGCCTAGGAAGCAGTGGATTCCTTCAGCACTCCTGTCACGAAGCGATGACATGCAACGTACCACACTACACTGCTGCAAGGTCATAGAGCTCAGTCAGGTAGAGACTCCAAAGAGTGTTTGCAATGCCCTCGGCCTGCCATTCCCGGCGCGATGACCGTTTACCCTTGTCGGTCCTCTCAACGATCAGCTCGTGCTGTGCATGGCCGAGTAACCACACCAGGAGCGCCGCCACATCGCAATGGGTGGCCTGCCACTGTTCCCATCGTCCCAGGAAGCTCCTGTTAAGCTCCAGTTTGCAGTTCTTTGGTCAGTGGTACTGCGACAAATCTGAGTCTGAGAAAAACGTCTGATTGAGCTGCCATGAGTGCTCTTATGCCTCATATTCTGTGTATAACACACCGCGACCGTGCCTCAAACACCGGCTCGTGGCGGGTTTGGCAAAGGCGCGGCACCACTGAGACCTGGCGATCGATGATGCTTGCACTGATGAGGATGGCGATGATGTCGCCGCTGACACAATGATCGCCATGATTACGCAAGTGCTGATGGTGGCACTGGTGTTGCTATTCGTGGTTCATCACCTTCACGATCAACACCATCAAGACCATCAACACTAACATCACCGTCATCGCCACTATCCCCATCCCCGTCATCATCATCATCATCATCATCATCATCATGATCATCATCATCATCATCGGCAGCGGCAGCATCAGCAGCATCAGCATCATCAGCATCGTCAGCAGCAGCGTCAGCGTCAGCGTCAGCGTCAGCGTCAGCGTCAGCGTCAGCGTCAGCGTCAGCGTCAGCGTCAGCGTCAGCCTCAGCGTCAGCGTCAGCATCAGCATCAGCATCAGCATCAGCATCAGCATCATCATCATCATCATCATCATCTTCATCATCTTCATCATCATCATCATCAGCAGCAGCATCCTCATCATCACCATCATAATCATCATCACCATCATCATCATCATGAACATGATGATCATCATCATCTTCATATCATCATCGCTAGACGGATCCTTAGAACCTGCAGAAGACACCTCCCGGGTAGCACGATTTGTAGTTGCTGCTATTGCTGCTCTTGATGCTATGCAGTGACAGCGACGGTGACGATGATGATGATCATTATCATTATGCTGACGATATGGGACTAGGACCAGGAGTGAGAACATGTTCCGGAATACTGCTGGGACGACTCAGAATACCTCCTTTCTCCACTTGAAGCTACTCGGCTTTGCTCCAGCGTCAGGCAAGGAAGCCCTGTTTGGATGCGAGGAAGCGAATGGTGAAGAAGAGGACGAGGACCTCGGAGTTCGCGCTGGGGGTTCAGCACTTATTTGGGGCCTGTGTGGCCTACTCTTCAGATTCGCCTGACGTCCCAAAATCAAGTTTAAATCTCGCAGTGCTGTGCCCTAGTTAACACAACCCATCCCCAAACGAAGCTGCGGCCAAAAACCTCTGCAGCGCCTCGCCTCCAATGCTCACCGCCCATCCGATCGTCAGTCCGAAGATTATATGCGCATACGCTCCCCCCAAAACATGTACGTCCATGTACGTCCATGTACGTCCATGTACGTCCATGTACGTAGGCTGCTGGACTCCCATGGCCACTCCTCGGCGATGCGCTCCGAAAACCAGTCTCTGAATCTCTGGTAATCCAAGGCGGGAGCAGATGGAAGCAGATGATGGTCAGTCATCAGCAACGGACCAGGCGCAAAGATGCAGCCCATGCAATGCATTTGGGCATGGTCTCATGTGACTGTGTGCCCTCGCCCTGGCCCTATGGCCCTGAAAGCGTACACAACCCAGAAGCCTCTGTGCTTTCTGCCTCCGGGCTCCTTGCCACAGCCAGAGTCACGAGGAGGGCAGCACGGAAGGCCCCATCCTTGCTGGCAGCAGCATGTCTGGGAAGTATCGATCACCCGAGACTCCAACTAATTTAGTGCTTCAAGAAAGGGTTATGCTACGTTCTGTGGTGTACTGTTTCAGGGCTCGGGCTCTGGGTTTTCGGCTTGGGGTTTCACAGTTGTGGGCAAGGTTGGGACTCGAGGTTACCACGCCGACTCAAATTGCAAAGCCTAAACGGCCCATGAGGATCCCAATATAGTCCTGCCAGGTCCCAGTAACCCTCATAACCCCATGTAGAAAAGCCGCTTACGTCCCATCAAACAATACGGAACCACGTAGAACGCGCTGTAAGAAGCCCTGTCAAAAATCTGAGAACACCCTAAACCCTGAAGCCTTACGCTAAAAAGCTCTTACAAGACACTATAGAAGTAGAACCCATACTTGGAACCCTTCCTAGACCCACACAAAGTCAAACCCTACACACTACATAAAACGAAGCCCTAAACCTACTGAGTCAGGTGGCTTCCCTCTGGGGGGCCCCGGCGGCTGACTCGTAGCCGCTCAGCAGGTTCATGCCCATGGCCCCTCTTGCGCAGGACTCTTCGAATGTTTTAGGGTCCTATTGTTCTTCACAAGGTCTCAGCATTCGATATAATATAGGGGCCGCAAAAATTAGAATAGGTTTCTGGGGTATATAATACATGTTCAGAATAAGGAACCCCCCAAGGTTGCATTGGAAATTACTTCGGTCCCTGTATTACAATATGGTCTTTGGAGCCTAGGGTCCGGGATGAGGCTCCTTGAAGGGGATTTGCCCGTACAATCGAAGAAAGATCCGAATCTTTTTACCCTTTCAAGACAGGCTGCTTTCACAGCGTGGGGGAAAAGCTAGATTTTGTACCCTTCTTGGACCCCCCTCTCTTAAGGTCTAGTCTAACCCATTCGAAGCCCTAAACCCCTAACCCTTGGAGTAACCCCTATAGTAATCCTCTAAAGGAAACCAACCCCTTGATCTGTGGCCCCTGTTTTGAGAAGGGTCCCCTTTAAGGGGTCTGGCTAATACTACCTAGGCTTTAAGGCACCTGGGACGAGGCCACCAGCGGCAATGGACACGGAAGCGATGACCTGCCGAAACTCTCAGGTTTACGTGAACCGGTCTCATTATGGGGTTTATGGCTTAGGGCTTAATTATAGGCCTCACTGAAAAACTGCGGTTCTTAAGCAAGGGCTTGGAATCTGGCGTACGGAGTTCTGTAGGTTTCTTCGGCCGTGGATTTCTGAGAACATTGAGCTTTGGGGCTTCGGGGCTTCTACTAGGAGGATCATGGGACTTAGTAACTAGGGTTTTAAATAGGGTAACTATAATTATAACCCCAATTAGGGTACTTATAACCTTACTTACTAAGTCCCATGATCCTCCAAGTAGTGTCTTGGGCTCAAGCAGCTTCACGCTTGGGATGATTTCCGTTCGGGTGCCCAGGAGGTCCTGGGAAGATGTCTGGCCTTGGCCTCTAGCTTAAAGGATCGCGAGTGGTCAACTAGAAGTAATGTTTGAGTTCCTATGTTGCTTCCGCTTTGCCTATTATAGCTGGGAGCGGCGTGATCCGCGCACCTTAATCAGAGGTTGTTAAAAAGCAACTACAGTTCCAATACCTGCAGACCTGCTCAATGAGTCCGCTGATCCTCCAATCAGAGGTTTCGGAGTCGGTTTAGGACATAAAGTAGGGGCCTTAATAATTAGAATAGGCTTCAGGGAACAATATGGTATGCTTATAGAAAGGAACCCAAGGAAACTAGTGGTAATTATTCCGGCCTCTATTGTCATGTAACCTCAAAGCTACATAACCCTAAACCCTAAAACTCCAAGCTAGACTTCAAAGGATCTACAGCCCTGTGCCCCAAGGCTGTCTACTGCACTGTATCACTGACTTCTGGCATACAAAATAGAATTAGAACAAGAATAGATTAATAACAACAATAACAACAAATACTCAATAGTGATAACACTATTTATGACCATAACTAATAGTTACTCATTCAGAACTAATAGCCAAGAACTAACCACTGATAATTAATACCTAACCCTCAATCAATAATCATTGATAACTATAGTTGTTAATGAATATTATACTTATTATAATAGTAGTCATCGCTGATAAGTAAAAACTAATAATAAATAATCAATAACCACCTTTTTGTAATTAGCTGATGACAATACTACTACTACTACTACTACTACTACTACTACTACTACTACTTTTATGAGAAGTCACAGACAGCAATCCTTAAAATCACCACCCACTGGAAGTACTCGACATGGGAGTTCCAGGAAACACACACACACAGAGACGCTGCATAGTCGGTTCCTCACTATGACGCAGATAAGGGGTCCCTATTTCTGGACCTACCACCGCGATCACTTCTCCAGCGATTTAGCAGCCAAGCCGCGAGGCTGAGCTCGAACTGCTCCACTCGGAGGCGCCTCGCCTTTTCAGGGAGTTTTCTAAGGTTGTCAGCGTCTTTGTTGAGCTTCCCCTCGGAGCCCAGTTATCTATGTAGTGTGTCACTTTCCCGTAAACCCTATAACCCAGTAGCTTACTTTTATAGGCAGTTGGGCTCTTAGGCTTCCCTACTCCCAGGCTCAAGCACACGGGGTCAGGGTTTGGTCTCTATTCCTCAGCTTCCTGGGGTCTTGCGGCTTAGGGATTTACGGGCTTAAGGGCTTTTGGGAGCCGACGGCAATGCTTACGGTTGCGAGGCGTGCGAGCTGCTATATAAACTTGGAAGAAACGTACACATGGTTTATGAAACCCTGTGTAGGCCGTGTAGGCCTTGTGAACAGCCTCTCTGGGCTGTAGGCCGATACAAGTCCCACCTACATGCGTCTTACGCATCCTACAAAAGCCTTCAAAGTCGAGGCTCGTACCCCGGCTGCAACAAGCGCGGGATGGATCTGGGGGTTCAGTATAGGTGAGGATTAGGGCTCTTTTACAAGGACTTTGTCGGCTTGTTCTTTAGGTTTCGGATCTTTGAACCTCTCCTATCTACAACTTCCGCCGATCCTTGAATTCAAGCACCGAAAAGTCTCCCAGTTGCTCGCGTCTGATGGGCTGCCTGAAGCGCCAGGTTCGTCGAAGCCTCAAAGTCCTCGCGGCAAGAGCTTCGTGATTTAACAGTGTTCTTGTATGGGAGCTGTTTTAAAGCTACTACCACATGGCAAGGTACCTTTTTTCCTTACTAAAGCAAATAGCTGAGCTTAAGCTCCCCAGCAAGAACGCAATCAAGTTAAGGATTCAGTCAAGGCCAACCCAGCCGGAATCGAAGGCGAGACGTATTGGCCTCAGGAAGCCTTTTGAGTTCCAATCCGCAGAGAACAACTTTCTAAATCCCTTATTTGGTTTAAGTGGACCGGACGCTGTGGCTGTTTTTGCCTGGGATATGGATGATGCAGAGGACGACTCCTGCGTAGACGAGCAGCCAGGGACCGGGCCCAGCAACTCAAAACGCTCCAAGATTTAGCTCTTTGCGGAGGCGGATGACAAGTTCCAGCCCCTCGCAACTAAAAGCGCGCGGTTAATGTAGTAAGGTTTCGGGGGGTTGGGACTAG